AGTTCCCTGGAGCACAGAGCACCTCACTGCAGCCTCAACTCCCTCAGAGGGTGCCGAAGGTCAACAGCCGCAGCAGCAGAGGCTTCAATCTCCACAGAGGCAGACAGCAAATGCCCTTGCTGTTCAGTCATTGGCAATGCTCTTGGCAAGTGCCAACTTATAGATGGCGAATGCCTCCCAAGACTTCAGGAGTCTTGCTCTCGTGAAGCATGCATTCCAACTCCAGGATCCAAACCACAAGGTAAGTCGCCATCATTGTGGTTCTTTGGATGCAAGTTCTTCAATAGTTTGTCTCAATTTGAAAACCTTCCAACTAAGGAGACAAACTGTCAACTTCCTGTCAAGGGAAAGGTAGAGAGTGTCCCATTCGGGAGGGGGCAGTGTGATTTCAGATATGTATAGCAGTAGGTAGCAGCTTGTAGCAAGCAGCAGGGAGTGGTAGCTGGAAGTAGGGTCTTAGATTCCCAGAGTGTGAGTCCTAACCACTGGATATCAGGAGCCAGAAATTAGGGCTAAGGTCCCTAGTACTGCCTGACTAGTCAAGAACAAATTCAGGCAAGGAGACAGTAGATAAGTCGCTCAGTCCTGTTTGACTCTTTGTGACCCCATGGACTGCAGCCCGCCAGGCTCCTCCGTCCACGGGATTCTCCAGGCAAGAATACTGGAGTGGGTTGCCAAGCCCTTCTCCAGGGGATCTTCCCAACTCAGGGATCAAACCTGGGTCTCTTATGTCTTCTGCATTGGCAAACAGGTTCTTTACCACTAGTGCCACTGGGAAGCCTTATTGAAAAGAAAAGTACAAGCAGAAAGGCACAAGGGTGAGCTCAGAGAGAGTCATGCCTTTGGGAAGTTTAAATCCTTTATCTTTATAAAAGGATTTATATCCTTTATCCTTCATGAAGGATTTCCCATCACTTCACGGCAAATTGATGGGAAAACGATGGAAACAATGACAGACTTTATTTTGGAGGGCTCCAAAATCACTGCACATGGTGACTGCAGCCATGAAATTAAAAGACTCTTGCTCCTTGGAAGAAATACTATGACCAATCTAGACAACATATTAAAAAGCAGAGACATTACTTTGCCAAGAAAAGTCCTTCTAGTCAAAGCTATGGTTTTTTCAGTAGTATGGTTTTTCCATGGACTGCAGCACACCAGGCTTCCCTGTCCATCACCAACTCCCAGAGCTTGCTCAAACTCATGTCCATCGAGTCAGTGATGCCATCCAACCACCTCATCCTGTGTCATCCCTTTCTCCTCTCGCCTTCAATCTTTCCCAGCATTAGAGTCTTTTCAAATGAGTCAGTTCTTCACATCAGGTGGCCAAAGTATTAGAGTTTCAGCTTCAGCATCAGTTCTTCCAATGCATATTGAGGACTGATTTCCTTTAGGATTGACTGGTTGGATCTCTTTGCAGTCCAAGAGTCTTCTCCAACACCACAGTTCAAAAACATCAATTCATTGGCACTCAGCTTTCTTTATGGCCCAATTCTCACATCCATACACGACTACTGGAAAAACCATAGTTTTGACTCGACTCAAGGACCTTTGCCAACAAAGGTCCTCTTCCAAGGAGGAAGAAAAGAGGAGGAGGCTGATTGTAAATGCCCAACCTGGAGCCTGGATCTGACTGTAAATGTCCAACCTGTCCAACCTGCTGTCTAGGTTGGTCATAGCTTTTCTTCCAAGGGGAAGAAAAGAGGAGGCTGGCTGATTGTAAATGTCCAACCTGGAGCTGGTCTATCTCCTACCTCAAGGGGAGGGAGGAAGCACATGGTCCAAAGTAGCCCTGAAATTGTTTTAAAATGCAAGTAGAATCACAACACTCTCTCATCAAGTCTTTCAGTGACCACTTTTGCCACCCAAGCGCTGTCCAGCCTCAACCCTTTGCCCAGGTGTGCAGCTCAGAGACACTGGACCCTCCGTGTGATCCAGGCCTGTGTTCTGTCCCTACTCCTTCCTCTCCCTGGTGGCTCTCTCTGTCCTCTGCAACACCCCCCATTTATTCAGTGCACCCCTCTTTCTGCCTGTGGCATCTCTCATCACACCCCATGTGTGTACTATGCACATTCAGATGTGTGTCTTGAGCGCAAACATAAGCAAACCGCATGTACTGCTACTGGCTGCTCCTTGCTGGTGGCCCTTCTTTCAGATCCTTCTCTCCACACCCGTTCAGCCTCCTTCCCAGTCACCTCCTGTGAAAACCATACTGTGTCCCCCGATGTTCACTTCTCTCAGGACACAAGTAATGACAGCAAACTGCAAACACTCCCATGGGGTGAGCCACCACACTCATCACGCCTTGGAAGAAGTATGCCACTGATCTAAGACACCATCTCATTACCTCAGAGATCCGAAGTTGTCCAGTAACTGCATACATATGTAAGGAACATGTATGTGTGCATACTAAGTCGCTTCAGTCATGTCCGATTCTTTGCAATCCTATGGACTATAGCCCACCAGGCTCCTTTGTCATTCAAAAATGATTATATTACTTATGGGATTCTCTAGGCAAGAATACTAGAGTGGGTTGCCATGCCCTCCGTCACGGGATCTTCCCAGCCCAGGGACTGAACCCGTGTCTCTTGTATATCCTGCATTAGCAAGTGGATTCTTTACCACTAGTGCCACCTGGGAAGCCCCATCACTTATATTCAGGAATGTCTAAATACTATGCAATTTGATATCTACCTTGATAGCCATTTTCAAAAATACACAAACAGCATGTTCCTAAAAGTAAGAAATTTTACAATTTCTTTTTTTCTCCCTTGCACTTACTGAGAGTAATTTTTCTTCTCTGGGAAGCACTTCAGTGGTTCCCTTGGTTACTTAATGAGAAGCCCAGGCCTGGGAGGGACACACGGAGGAGACAGGTGGGATTAAGCAGCCCTGAAGCTGAGGTTCTTGAACTTCGGGACCAGCTAGAGGGATTGGGAGACTCAGGTGGCCGGATCCCTGCATCCTGGACACATTTCCAGGTCATGTTTGACAAAACCAAGCAAAGAGGGGTTTTCTTAGAAGGCAGATTATTATAAGTTGTTCAAGGAGATTGTCTACTTTTCTCTGACTCACTGAGAATAAAAGAAATGTAGGAGGCCAAGGGTTCAGCTGCAGAGATTGTAACATAAAGGAGTATACCCTGAGGGCCACTCCCACCCCAAGTGGTGTCAGGCAGGAGGGAGAGACAGCATAGTCTTCCCAGTAAAGACAACCAGCCCTGGAGCAGAAACTCCACTAAGGGGGCCACTGTGTACGTTCATCGCGAACCGCTGGCACTGGCAACATTGGCAGGCACATAGGAGGCGCTCAACAAACGAGTGAGTAAACAGTGCACCTTGGCTGATGAATTGAGCTTTCCTGCTTCCATTCTGCTCTTCCCAAGCTTTGTTCCCTGCCACAGGAGCCTTGTGCTGGTGGGGTGAGGCCTCTCTGTGCACCCTCTGCTCCTGGCGGAGCAGGAGAGTTTGGCTCAGGTTTGACAGACAGGCCGAGGCAAAGGTAAGACGATGTGGGCAGCAGCTCGGAGCCCACGGAGGCTGGCAGCAATCCTGGGAACACGGGTTACGAAACCCCAGCGGGAACTGGGTCTGGAAGGAGCCAGACCTCCAAACAGTATTGCAGAATGGTAGCTGCATAGTTTACTTTTAATAGTTGATACTATTTAATATTTCACATTTGGGCCTCTGATCAAACACGTGTTAGGTATGAAAGACAGCCGGCCTAACAGAAGGACTCTAGAAGAGCATTTCACCTCCCCCGGGCCTTGGTTTCCTTATCTGCAAATCAACGTTTCTAAACTAAAGGGCCTCTGATGTTTCTAAACTAAAGGGCCTCTGGGTCCCCTTCCAGCTCTGAGGTCTGGGATCTGCAAGAGGTTTTTTATTAAAAGCCATAGTGACTGGCCCTGGGCACATGGACTTGCTCTAAGCAAAGCCAAATACCTACATTTTCCTTTTTTGGGGTAAAAGCCAAAACTGAAAGCAACTGACAGATGCCCACACCAGAGCCAGGCTTTCCCCAACAGTTCCCTGTGTCCTTAAGTTTGGGGAACTGTACTGTTCTTCACTGTAAAAAATAGTACAGGTAGGCTGTGCTTTCTGGTAGAAATGATTTCTCCCAGGCAAAAATACAGGTAGCACTAAGAGCTGCACTTCAGACACGTGCAAAGGGAGCACCCAACACTCCCCAAACTTCCTTCAGGAGCAGAAAGCACCCTGGCCCCAGCTGCAGACCTCTCAGGTGACCTCTGTGATGTTAAGCTACAGGACTGCAGCACATTCTTGCTACAGAACTGCCTCCTGCTGTGTGATGAAAGTGAGAGGGGCAGACACACTGAGGGGAAGCGACACCGAAAAGAAACAAGTGAGTCCGGACCGGGCTGAGATGCAGGGGCAGTGCTGGGAGGCCAGCCCGTCTGGCGAGGGCACACATCTGACCCCTCTGCAAACTGCCCTGCTCGGTCCCCATGGAGCAGATCAGGGAGGAAGGTGGAGGACCGGCGTGCTCCCAACTCCTCCTGCGGGGTCACCCTCGGGGGTGGGGTCACCACACCCTCTGCCCAGCCCTCAGACCTGGGGCTGCAGCAGGCATGCCTGTCGCTAGGTCCTGTGCTTCCCCATGGTTTCCTACACATGCTGTAAACAGTCCTTTCACTCAGCTCTTCTCACTCAGCCCGTTTGACAGAGACTCCATTCCAAGACCCTGGCTGTCTCCCTGACTAAGGGAAGGAAGCTCTGGAATCTGGGAGGGATGTGGGAATGCCAGAAGAGTTCTGGAGAGGAGCATGAGGGGCAGGAGAGTGGAGGGCTCCTTGCAGAAGAGAAGGTGGGGAGACAGCCGGCAGGCCCCCAGCTTTCCCAACTAGTTCATCAGATCTTTGGCAAAGGTTCTGTGAAACTGCAGGTCTGAGGGTTGAGGACAGGTGTCTCTTCTTTCCTAGGTGGTTTTGGACGCGCTGCCCTCCTTTTACATACTGTTCAACTGTGTGGCTCTGGTGGGAAAGAGGCCCTCAGAACAGCCTCCTGTGGGCCCCAGGGTCTATCGTGGGGCCCACGACTGTCCACAAACACGCCTAGACTGGACTGGAGTGACCCTGGTGCTGGCAGCACTCAGGAGAACATGCTTCGCCTCAGGGACAGAAGAGGAAAGGCAGTTTATAAAAATGTTTCCCCAGTTGGGAAATCAAACTCGGTCCTCTGTCCTCAGTCTTCCCCAGACCACCCACATGGGGACACTGTTCAGCTTGAAGCTAGAGCTGATATTTTCAGAAACGGCCACTAATTTGGACTCAGCCCCAAAGCTCCAGGTCCACCCCGACTTGGCCCCACCCACGCTGCATTAAACACTTAGGTCCACAGGGCCTGGGAGCAACAGTAGTCCTCCCCTGCAGGCACTGGCAAACAGAAAGTCAACAACATTGTATCTAAAACTAAACAGTTTTGCTGAGAATAATGGGGCTCTGGACTGTGGCTTCTGTGAAGCTTAATGACAGAATTGGCAGCACAGGAGGTTTTCTTGTGGTGGCCCATGCTCCGCAGGCCTTGGGCACACAGCCCACAGCTCACTGTTCGATCTTGTGAAACTCGGATGATGGGTTACTTCCCCTCTTCTTAATAAGATTAACAAGGTAAGTGCAAGACGTTTTGAGTAGTTTGCTGAAAATTTTAAAATTCTTCCAAAACCATTTCCTCAAAATCCAACTTTACTGAATTCCTTGGTTGAAAACTAACCCGAAATGATGTTAAAAATGAGCAAGGTCACAGTTCTGCCGTCTGCCATAAACCTTGTCATGAACATTGGAAGCACCCTTATCCAGCTGAGCCCATGGAAATTGTGTCTTAATCTAACTGTTTCTTTCCATTTCTCCCAACTTCACATTACCAGAAGTATGCAGTGCCTTTCGAATGACATTTATCCAAGGTTATGATAACAAACAACTGTCCCTCCAGTGATGCATTTGTTCCGCACCTCCCAGCCCAAGGCCCTGCTCTTGCTTTTCTTTCAAATCTCATTTAGTCTCAGTCATCTCGGCCAGAAAGTTCCTGCTTCAGAGCAGAAGGTAAGTACATTTTTTACTAATTTCTCAGGTTCTTGAGTGCTTTGGGCTCATAAATAGAGCAGTTAAGGAAAAACCTTGAGAAAAGATTATATTCAGAATTCCTAGTAGCTCATCTTTCAAATTATGGTTTTTCATCCTCATGTGGAGTACATTATTTTCTAATTAAACCGTAACAACAAAATCTTCTATATGTGTATCAAACTAAACCCAATTTCCCTCCTGATGAATTTATTCTAAAGTTTTAGTTTTAAATCATAATCTAGCTCTAGTTAAGGATGATAGGCAGGTTTTTCTAATGGGATTATGAGTGGGAAAAGTCATGCTTCTTTTACCCCTGGAGAGTCACCCTTTTACCTGATTAACCTTCTGTTTTCACTCTGGCACTAGTGCATAAGCATCTCTGCCGTAGACATTAACATGTGAACTTTCTGTGATCTGGGGCAATTAACACTCTGCCTTTCTCATCTGTTGAATAGTCCTCTGCCTTCCTTGGCAAAAATATAGGGTGTAGGATAAACGAGCAGAGAAGACAACGGCACCCCACTCCAGCACTCTTGCCTGGAAAATCCCATAGACGGAGGAGCCTGGTAGGCTGCAGTCTATGGAGTCACTAAGAGTCGGACACGACTGAGCGACTTCACTTTCACTTCTCACTTTGATGCACTGGAGAAGGAAATGGCAACCCACTCCAGTGTTCTTGCCTGGAGAATCCCAGGGACGGGGGAGCCTGGTGGGCTGCCATCTATGGGGTCGCACAGAGTCGGACACGACTGAAGTGACTTAGCAGCAGCAGCAGCAGAAATGAGAATTAAAAGCACATTCCTGGTCCCATTCTCCTCCAAAGCCCTAATCACTTGGAGAGCCGTGCACCCACTACAGACTTGAGATTTTTTGCTCAGTTGGCTCCGTCATGGGGGAAAAGCCTTCTCCAGAAAGGATGGCCAAGTCTTTTTACAAGAACAGCAAGTCGTCCTATCTTTATTTCTGTAAACTGCCTTAAGATAATCCTACTATTCATCCTCCTCCTAAACATACACACTTACACACACATGTACATGCACGCACACACACATGTATACACACACATGCATATTCCTGTACATACATATGCACACATGCAAAGCCAAGAGGGAAAAACCCAAAAGAGTGACGCGAGGTGACTCTGAGAGCTGGGTCTTGACCAGGATCAGGACAGGCAGAGGGCTGGCCATGAGCCTCACCAGTTCATGCACTGCCGGGAAAGGGCTGCTCACACGAAGGCGCCAGCCCGCGACCACTAGCCCACTGTGGCTGGGACAGCAGGTCACACTCAGTCCTCAAGAAGAGCCCCTCTGGGGCTGTTCTCTGTGGGAACACAGAGGAGGGGGCCCCCAGCAGAGGAGGCAGGACATCGCCAGCCAGTGGAGGGGACATCTTGGAGCACCCTGACTTTTTCAGTGTCCTGGGTTTCGGGGACTGGGGTGAGGGTAGGGGTGTCCCCTTTCAGCACCATCGCCCTCTCACCCCTCTGGGCAACCCCAGGCAGCTCAGTGTAAGGAAAAAGGCCAATCTACCTTCATCTCCCTAGTTTTCCAGGCATGTTTCCCACCTAAACACTTAAAGGCCACATTGTACACACATGGGCAGGTCTGTGCTGGGGGTGGTGTCTGAGGCCAGGAAGTAAGGATAGGTGGTGGGAGCGCAGGTCAAGGCAGCTCAGGAACAGGGTTCCCAGGAGGCTCTGGGGGGTGGGGGCAGGTGGCCCTGGGGCCCCGGGAGCTGAGAGGTAAGGTGTGTAAAGGGCATGGGTGTCATCTCAAGAAGTGTGGCTGATATTAAAATGATACTAAAATTCAGAAGACAGTTTACACTCATGGCTCCACATGTACTTGCCAGTGTGCCGGCAGTGCATGTGGAGACTTGGAGCAAGATTTAGTGACTCGAAGACCTTGAGCAAGTTCGTCTCTGAGCCTCAGTTTTCTTATCTATGAAATGGGTCCTGGATCAGGGAACAGGAGTAGAACCTGCCCTCATACTTAACTGAAGCATTGAAGGAGAACATCTCTCACCCTGCATTCTCTCTGACCTTTAACATAGAGACAATTGTAAGAGAAGCTGGACAAAATCAAACTGCTTTTAAAGTACAAATTTTAAGGATGTGCTGATGTACTGGGGAGTTTGTTCTTTTATATGTTAGAATATTAATTCAAAATGCTAATCACATGTTTTGAGCCCCATACAATAGACGACAAATCCCTATAAAGCTGTAAGGCAACAGAAATCAAGGCAAAAGAATAGACAAAGATCAGTTGAAGCAAATAGAGAGCTCATAAACAGACCCACACAAATGTAACCAACTGATCCCAACAAAAGTGTCAGGGCAATCCAAGGGAAAAGGATAGATCTTACCACAGGTGTTTCTGGGAGAAATACTTGCAAAATAGATATTGGAAATGACTATTTTTCCAAAAATCTTCAAAGAAATAGTAAAATCAGCAGAGAGAAAACAAAGAATTTTAAAATGAACAAAAGATAAGAACAGATGTCTCACCAAAGGAGACCTACATATGGTAAATAAACAGAAAATAATACTCTTCACCATTTATCATTAAAGAAATGAAAATTAAAATGACAATGAGATTACACACTTATTAAAATGGCTGAAATCCAAAATGCTGACAACACCAAAGGTGGTGAAGCTATAGAGCATCTCATTCCTCACTGGTGGGAATGCAAAATGGTACAGTCACTTTGGAAGACACTGTGGTGGTTGATACAAAACTAAACAGACTCTTCCCATATCCAACAGTTGGGGTCCTTGGTATTTACCCAAATGAGTTGAAAACTCATGTTCATCCCAAATAACCTGCACATGGATATTTATAGCAGTTTCATTCATAATTGCCAAAATCTGGAAACAACCAAGAAGTCCTTAAACTATCTTTTAGCTATCAAGCCTAAAATAGACAGGGGTGAAACTCAAATGCATATTACTAAGTGACATAGCCAGTCTGAAAAGGCCAGCTGCTGTATGATTCTGATTATATGATGTTCTAGGAAAAGGAAAACAACAAGACAGTAAATAGATAAGATGTTACCAGTGGTTTGGAGAGGGACTGAGGGCTGTGAATAGATGTAGTAAAAGAGGATTTTTGTACCACAGAATAGTGAAACTATTCCGTAAGATACTATGATAGGAATATATGACACCATGCATTTGTCAAAACCTATCGAAATTTATGGCATAAAGTGTGAATCTTATGTTATCAAAAATTTTTTTAAAAAATCATTTTGGACTGTCTCAGGATGCAATGTAAGCAAAGAATCTGATTGTACCATCATAAATACATGAAAAAAAATCTCAGTGCACGGGGTGGGGGGAAGGTGCTGATGTAAGTGACCTTGAAAATGAGCGAAAACAGTAAGATACAGATAATCTGCTCTCTAGATGACACAGTTCACCACAGGGATGTGGGCTATTGATTCTGAAACCACTGCAACTGTTTCTGTGGTGCACCTGCAAGTGTGCACCTGGACCCAACAATTAAAAATGCCCTGCACGTGGCAGGAGCTGGTTCTTCGCTGTTGGAACAGGAGGTTACATATAAGAAAGGAGAGGAGGTTGGAAGGAGCCACATGCAACAGACTGGAGCTGGAAACTTCAGGGTGAGCTCATGCTTGTCTTCATATAGATATGGATGGAGACAGAAGTATTTGAAGAGTTGTGTGCACCCATGGTTAGTGTACACACATATGTCTCCTTGCTCTGTTAGTGGAAAGGGCTTAGGAGCAACAGCATGCAAGAAACAACATGCACTTTACCCCTCAGATCTTGGCTTTTAACACCATTTTCCAATAAAAGGAGTCAGTGATCCTCTCAGAACAATGGCTGATTTCATGATGATGGCACAAAATAACAAAAGTGAGCTGGGAACAATGTGCAGTGCAAAAGATAAACAACTGTTCCAAAAAATCACGGTGGTGAGGGTTATGTTCAAAGGACGTGTGTCAACTTCAAGAAGTTGGAATGATACAAGCAAAAAAATAAGTAAAATAATACTAGATTATAACCTAAAATATAAAATAAATATCCATGTATCCATGGATGACCAGCCCATCTTGGGTGGCCCTGCATGGCATGGCTCATAGCTTCACTGAGTTATACAAGGCTGGGATCCATGTGATCATTTTGGTTAGTTTTTCTGTGATTGTGATTTTTACTCTGGAGGCTGTGGGATGGTAGTTCTTGCTTGTTCTGTCTGCCCTCTGAAGGATGAGGATAAGAGGCTTGTGCAAGCTCCCTGATGGGAGGGACTGGCTGTGGAGAAAACTGGGTCTTGCTCTGGTGGGTAAATTTTTAACCCAATCGTCTGCTGATGGGTGGGGCTGAGCTCCTTCCCTATTAGTTGTTTGACCTGTGGCAACCCAGTCCTGGAGTCTAAGGGCTCTATGGTAGGGCTACTGGTGACCTCTAGGAGGACCTATGCCAACACACGGCTCCCAGGACCGCCCGGTCCTCACAGCAGGCCACTGCCGGCACACATTTCCACAGAAGACCCTCAAACACTCACAGGCAGGTCTGGCTCAGTGTCCTCTGAGGTCAGAGCTCCTTTCCCCTGGGTTGTGGTGCACACAAAGTTTTGTGTGTGTCCTCCAAGAGTCTCTGTTTCCCCCAATCCTGTGGAAGTTCCGTAATCAAATCCCACTGGCCTTCAGAGTCAGATTCCCTAGGGATTCCCAGTCCCTTTGCCAGGTCCCCAGGTTGGGAAGTCTGATGTGGGGCCTCACATGGGAAACTGGGTATGCTGTGTATGGGAACTCGCTATACTATCTTTGTAACTTTTCCATGAATACAAAATTGTTCTAAAATAAAAGGCTTATTTTTTAAAGAATGTCCAAGCTCAATCACCCAAATAAAAATCTTAAACATTTTTTGGGGACTTTTCAATGCTTTTGCATCAGTATATATATTCTGTACCACTGAACCATGATTTTAACCATAGAAGAGGGGTCTACCTTAT